TTTTAAAAAACATTTGAAAATGTTCCTCCTTAATTTAGCATTTTACTTGAAATTCTACAGCTCTTTTTGTATTTATCTAATGTCATTGCTTCATATGCTTTTAAATTAATATGATTTTCCTTTTTACTGTTGTTTCTAGACACAGAGTAGAAGGAAACCAAACTCAGTTTTAATTCCTTCTATTGATATTAAGCTTTATTGCCTGTCTGTAAAGCACTTTGAGCTTCTACCAGTATAAAAAAAACAAATTATGAGTCAATGAATAAAATTATTATTATTATCATTGTTATTTATTATTATTACTACTAGTATTATTATTATTGTTTTAGATAGCCCAAATTCTGGCTCCTCCTTTTGTGCACGCACATCATGCAAGAATGTGGATGTTCATAATTTCTGTAGTTTGTTTATTAATAGCTGTTAATCTTGAACACCTACATCTGGGGTGAGCGGAAAATTATGAAAATTTGTTTTTTTTGCCAAACGCTTCCCTTTAGCATCGGTTAAAGGACCCATATAGTGTGGAATTCCACTTTCCTCATTTTTTTAAATAAAAAAAAAATTGGTGTAGTAGATAAACAATGTTTCGAAATGTACTGCTCTTCATTCCCCTAGAGCATCCAATCAGAATGGAGGTTGTTTATATGTATCAGGCTTAAAGGCCCAGTAACAGGAATAATCTGTTTAATTTAAAAGAATAAAGAGAGACTGAAAAATGGTCATGACCCATATAAAAAAAATAAATGTATAATGTATATATCAAACACATTTGAACATGAATAAAAATGGCCAAAAACATGTTTTATTTATGTACTTGAGTGTTTAAAATACATTTTGAAATGAAAGTGTATTTGAAGTGTATCTGAAATTATACATACCTTATATAATATAATATAAAATACATACCTATACACAAAGTAAAGTGGACCTCGGTTGAAAAATACAAAAAAAGTAGCATATTGGCCCTTTAATGTGACCTTAATGTGAAGTGGTCATGAAATCCTAACTCAATGTAAAGGGTGGCTGCTTTTCAAATGGTATATAAAATATATACAATTTAAAAAGCAACAAAATATTATACAATTTCTGAAAGTATTATTTTGTGGCACCACTGAATCAACACTGCAGCACAGAGAGAGGATGTCAATGTGTGTGTTGTTGAAGGGGGGATAGAAGGTAGAAATTTCTCCCTATTTCTGCCTGCCTTTCATGTTTTGGCCCTCCTGGCCTACGGGGCCATTCTTCAGCTTGGACTGGGGAGTGTGGCGGAACGTTCATGCCTTTCTGCCTTAATGTCCCCCGTGGCTGACTGGCTACGGACGAGAACTCGCTTTTTTTGCCCACCACCCCCCCAACAGGAGCGGATGTGTTGCTTTTTCATCCATTATATATTCTCTGGGTTTTATCAGTATTCTCCGGAAGCCACTCAGTCATAAAGCGAAGATAAAATCCTTCACAGGCAGCTCGGTACACACTCTCATACACCTTCATCCTATATCATCACCTTTCCTTTTCCTAACCAGACCCAGGAAAAGGCATGTATTTATGTCAAAACAGAGTCTCTTTAAAATCTTCTGCGAAAAAAAGGTAATAAAGTGGCATTAAAAACTGCTGAGTTTGCCAAACATTATAGTACATTAAGGTTCTGCCACTTCATTCTGAGCTCAAAGAAATGAGTGATAATGAACTGCAGGCTATGCATTTACATTTAGCCATTTAGCAGATGATTATCTAAAGCAGCTTATTATCTTTAGCCAGCAACAGGAACTGTTCACCTGGAGCATGAGCCAAAGGCCTAAGCTGAAAGACAAAATAGGTCATATATAAAGACCCAAGATGGACCATATATAGACTCATAACTAAAGGTTCCTAAATGGTTCTTGGCTTGGATGTATGGTTCTAGAAAAATGTCTTTAATCGTTATAGAACTATAGATATTGAAACTTTTTGCATCACCGATGCTGATACCAAACTAATATTTTTTATATTTTCTTTATAGACTAGTAATAGACTAATATACTACAACTATAGACTGCTAATAGACTGATGATCTTGAAAAAGAAAATTCCTCCATTTCTTCATAATTTATAAGAAATGGTTATGTATACCCAGCCTAATGCCTCAGATGTTGTTTTCATTATAGTTTTGATATAAAGTTAAGATAAAGTTTGGCCTAAAATGTATTTTTTAAAAGCCGTTCATTCACAGTTGAATGCTGCACAAGTTTGGGCCTCCCAAATTAGCCTGTGCTAAAGTTAAGGCACATTTACATTTCATCTTTTATTTTTCCAATATGTTAAACTCAGCATATGAATAGAAATTGTGCACTAACATTTACAGAAAAACGCCATATGTGTTTACTCTGTGGAGGATGTGTTCACTTATTTTCACTTAGAAAATAAGCAAACAATGTCATTTGACCAGGGGTGCACAAATTTTTGCATATGACTTGTCTGTACACACAGGCAAAGTAGTCCCCAAAGACAACTTTTACCATCATCAACATTACATATTAAACACTCAGAAGCCACGTGTAGGTTCACTGGTGGTTTTGGATAGGGAATAAAATGGCTACATTTGTGTTGTGGACATTGTGACCCCTGGTTCCTATCAGCACCACTGTAAAGAAACCTGAACTGGCACATTTTCCCTACATCAACCCACCCTGAATGACTTTGTTTACATTTAAACCACTGAATTATGCTGACATTCTGAAAAATCGACTAAAATATGATAAATCACGCTTAATGTGACCAGATACATGAGCCAACAAGGTAAACATGGTCTATTTGATGTTAGATTGACTTTAAGATGAGCATCTAAAAGTAGGCTGAAACTACTCAACCACTCTACCCCACAGTAAGAAGTACACAGCTAAAAACATCACAGCATGCTGTGAGTCAGTGCTATTTCAGTCTAGACACGTTACAAAATTGGATTAGACTCAATGGGCCTCATTCAGCAACTGCTCTTAAGAATACATTTATTTTCAAAACCTACTTACGCAGTTTCCACAAAAACTCTGACATTCACCAGTGTTTTCTTATTTGGGTTTGTTCTCAGGTAAGAACAGAATCTACACACACTCAAGAGCACAAAGGTGTGAACAGTTCTGAGGTTTAAGAACACGTCACCAATCTGACGTAGACTTTTTCTAAGCACCTTTCTCAAAAACACATTTGAGAACAAAAACTTTAGAAGATACTGGTGAATAAGGCCCATTGTTTTCCTCTCTGATATCCCACCTAGCATTTTCTGATACCCCTAACCGGCATCAGACCAGATCTAGATTATGCTATTAATTTATGGAGATCCTTCACATTAAACTTTAACAAGGTTCTTCACACTCACATATCTAATTTCTAAAGAACCATCCATTAAAAAACTCGGAACCACTTTACAATTAAACTATCCTTATAAAAGGTTAATGAATGGTTAAAACAATTGTTTATTAATGTTTATTAATGAGCTCATAACCACCTTTAAAAACCAAAACCAGTCATATAAAAGTAACAGTGACCTGTTGCTTGCCAAATAGTGATCCCACATTCGTTTATACTGTTAAACTCAGATCTTACAGGTTACTTATATTACTTTGTCTTCATCAGTCAGCATTATAACAGTCAGCATCATCAGATATATCTTAATAAGTTACAATCATTCAACCACCAGCAGGATGTGTTGTTATGTGGTAATATGTGTTAGTTAGAAATGATCATTTGGCCTAAATGAACTTCAATCACTAAATTTGCATTCCGAAGTATACGCAGTAAAGTATACAGGACCCAAACGAAGTATTATAGTGATCCTTGAGGGTCGGTGGCACCCTTTTCAGGACAGCGTTCCAGGTGTACTGCTCTCCCACTCTGAGATATCTGTGGCTTTCCTAAAGCAGTGTTTCTCAACCCTGGTCCTTGAGGCCCACTGCTCTGCACTTTTCCCTGCTCCAAACACACCAGATCCAATTAATCAGCTCATTAACAGTCTATTATTGAGTTAAAGTCAGTGTGTTAAAGCAGGAAAAGCATGCAGGGCAGTGGGCCTCAGAACCAGGGCTAAAACAATGGCCTAAAGCGTCCTTGGTATCTGTTGTGCTTTGTGTTATTAGTCAATGTGGTTTTCTAATTGTTGAATTGTTAGGTTTTACTGTTTGGTTTGAGGTTTCTTGGCATCTCAAATGGTCTATGATCACTTGTTAAGGAGTTATTAACACTAATAACCACCAAAAGTGAGGCTTAGTAATAGTAATAACCATTAATGAAACTAATTTAAACTGTTCCTAAACACTTTATAAAGGTAGTTTTATTGTAAAGTGGTACCTTAAAGTGGCTTTTTAGAGACTCAGCAATGTTTAATCTATGATGTCACTCCCAAGAACCCATTTTGGCATCAGTGTTGCTGTTTGACCAATTTGTTTTGGTACCAATTTTCCCTGTATAACCTGGGTCAAAGGTTTAAGGACCATTCACAAATCTAAAAAAGCAACATACTCAATACACTCCAAAAACAGATATAAGCTTAATTCAGCTTTAATCATTTAATTTAGATACATTTTGTTATTGTTGACAGTCATTACACAATATATATTTACAGGTCATTATGAAATATCATTACAATTTACAGGATTTTGTACAAAATTGCCTTCCAGATGCCTCGATTGTTCTATCCAGATACTGTCGTGTTTTGATATGGTGACTTTATTCGTTTTCAGCATTCTGTACTCTCAACAGGTGCACGTACAGGCCTTGAGAAAGATTCTGGTTGTTTGCCTGCTCCGCACGAATTTAAGATCTTTCTCAACAATAAGAAACCTAGTACACCAAAAAATACATGTTTAAATAATGATTTATAACATTAACATCTGATAGTATAACTACTGAATTACAAAATTGTGTCTTTTTTTTAATATGATTTAATATCATCTATGATTTTTTTTTCTTAACTTAAATCTATTGGTAGTGATAATGAATTACAAGTATGCTGTATCTCTTTATATCAAGGGGAAACTCACCTTGTCCATTATATCACTTTGTTGAGAACACTTGAGAGATGTCAGTCAGCCGCTTGCTCTCCGTTGATCGCCGCCCATGAGTTTATACAGTGCAGAGATGAGGATTGTGTAGTGTTTTTTGATGACCTACGTTTGGACAGATTGCCAGGATAGTGATGCATCTCTATCTTGTCCTTCCACGGGGCTACGAATGTCCTCAGTCATGTTTTGTTTGCCCCAATCTCGTTCGATTTCCCTCAAAAGTTCAGAGTCCCCACCATAGGAGGGGCAAATTTAAGCCATTTTGGGTGTGTAGGAGAGAGCTCCCCATACAGGCCCATCCACATCCGCTCCAACGACGGCAACGTCACGATGACAACAAGTTACCTGGCGTGTATTTACCCTGTTTGGCTCCCGTAAAGACAGTGTTCTGCGATTTGCGCCCAAGCGAACTCATTTCGAAAGAATAGAAGGATCTTTAACCAGTCAAAACTAAAATGCATTGTGCTCCATCTCGCCGCAGGAGATGCAGAAATGAAAACAAACTGAAGCATGCGTTTTTTTTTTTTTTTAAAAAGATGTCTGAAAGACAGCAGTTTTAACTATAGGAAAATAGGCTTTCAAGGATGACTCCTTCAAAAAATCATCTATAAAGCTTTCCAGGATGCAGTTAGCATTGGCTACGAAGTAAATAGATATACTAACCAAAAAAACGAATCCTTAAAAGATATGCAAACACAAGCATAAATATTTGATCCACAGAGTAAGCGAGTAAGCTACGAATGACAAATATACGTGATATACTGAAACTCCGCCACAGGCCCCAGTTTTTCAGTCTTTGTTGGTGTGTTTGTCAGTCTTTATTATGGTGCTCTCAGAACAACAACAAAAAAAAAAAGTCAATCCTGATGTTTTTTTCGTCCCCATACGTTCCAAGTCTCCTCCATAACAGCAAGAAAGAAATCAGAGAAAAAGGGGCGCAGTTTTGTTTTGCTTTGTTTTTTTTTTAAATTCTCTCTATTTTTTTTTCTTTTAAACATGTTTCGGTCCACTCTCCTTCCTCTCCGGCCCTTCTTAATGAACGTAGTAGAGCCAGTAGACCACGTTGAAGAAGGAGAAGAGGGTGGGGAAGATCATCCTGGACCACTTGTCGATGGAGTTGACATCAGACAGGTCAGGGATGTTGACCTTGAGCTGCGAGGCCCGTCTCCGCAGGCGGCTCTTCTTCTGCGTGGCGTGACGCTCCAGGGCGCTGTGGCCGTAGTTGTGGCGCGCCAGGGCGGCCCGCCTGTACTGCAGCGTGGAGCTGTCGTAGGCCAGCATGCTGCTGCTGCGAGGGTCCCCCAGCCCACGGGACAGATCTCCTGGGCCCATCTCATTCTTCATCTCCACAGTGGTCAGCCGGATGTCATCTGGGTTCATCTGTGAAGGTGGGGAGACAAATTATACTCTTCTCATCCACTCAGTTTTTACTCTGATATTCAGCAAATATTTCCTTTTTTAAAATAACTGGATTTATAAATCTCCACCAAGCATCATGGCAATGTTATGAATAGCATGTAAGCAAAGCAACAATATCATTGAATGCATTACAACTCAGCACTAGATACTGTATTTATATAGTCTTAGCCACAGATATAATTTATAACTAAGTTAAATGTATGACAAATTACTGCTGAGGAAAACATACTGAAAGCAATGGTTAGGATAATGATCAGATTTACAGATTTCAATCAATTTTCTCCATACTCCAAATGTAGCCTATCAGCTAAGACATCTCTGCTGCCCAAAGTTTGCTTCTTTGGTTTTGCACTGGAGCTCAGAGGCTAATGTTGCTCATAGGACTGCACGATATGAACTAAAATGTGATGTTGTATTAAAGCCGTTGGATATCATGATGGCTGTTGGATATGAAAATTCCTTGAAAAGCTCCCTATGATGATGCAGATTTGTTGTAACAGTAGCCATTACTGCTTCATACATTTCGTAGATTTTCTAGATTTGTGAGAACAGCAAAATACAAGTTAATTTTTTTTTTCATTTTTATTAATCAGAATCATGTTTGTATATAAATTCTGCAAGTATCACATTGTTCAGTTTTGGATGCAAATAAAAGGGTTCATTTCCTAAAACACTGGGCAGAAAATTGGCCAAACAGGAATTGTTTTTCTCTATGATATCAAGGTAGATATGGGTAAGAGGGCTCTCCTATTGGTTAGGACTTCAGGAGCTGAAGAGAAGTCCTAAGGTGTTAGTTTAACCATCAGCATAATTGCAAAGTGACAGAAGAATAAACCAATCATGTTTTGATTTTCAATAGGTGAGACTGTTTCATGAGTAAAAATGTCACTCTAGGCCTTCTGGAAGTTCTACATACACCACTGACTGAGAATATGAGTGGCGGCCTATTCAGTGGGTTGTTAGAAATGGCACAGCTTTTGCTGAAAGAGTCACTGTGAAAATTCTACAAGGTAAACTTTTGCTAACATGTCTGTTACAAGCTTCAAGTGAAACATGTAATGTCTTTTAGAAGCTTTGAATGTCTGTGTTTAATCTAAAACTGCCAAAAAATATTCATATAGATCGCTGTTAACTTGGCGCTAACAACCTAATAGAATCCCATAGGGACAGAAGATAGAATTATCGTGGATTTTCATAGATCATTATCCTCATATTTCATATTTATATCCCAAATTGAAGGTCTAGTCATGGTTTGCCACTGATTGTCCCAAACAGTTTATGCATTTTTCTTCAGGTTTACTGTGGAAACTTTTATCACAATAACAATTAAAATGCGATTTATTGTGCAGCTCTAGTAGCTTACAGTGTTCACTGATATGGGCCAGTGCAAACAAGCATTATTTCTCATGTAAATATCTGCTGATACTGATAAACATTTATGAAATGTCAAAATTTACCTGGATTAGCATGACAGTAAAATATTACATTTGTTTGTATAGGGACACAAATGTATTTAAATGAATACATTGTGGATATATTAGAGTACTAATCCAGTGTCACCCAGCTTTTCCAGAACACAATAAATATATCATCGAATGTTGACTTGTTAGCTAACAAGTAATGGAAGCTTTTAGGCAGTTAGCATGCAAACTGCATGCCTTAGTCGCTAAACACATGCCTCTAACTGTGAAGTAGTGGCAAATTCAGGCCTTACAACAGCAACTAGCATTTTTTTATTTAGCTGCATGCTTTTGTCCATTTTTAAAAAGCCCAGTAATGTCAGAAACCACAAAAGCAAGTCTATTTGAGATTCCTTAACAACTCCATAACAACTTAACACAGTTTCTAAGTGTTTACACAATGCCATAAGCTTCCATTACCTGTTAGCGACATTAGCTTCGTAGCTCCAGTGCAAAACTAAAGAAGCAAACTTTGGTTAACAAACATATCTTGGTGAATCGACTACATTTGGGATAGGAAAACTGTGTAAATTAGATTTTTGGCCAAACCGTTGATTAAAACATGTTATTGTCATATGTAGTACACACCATGCTGTAGTTTAAGCAGCAGTTTCTACATAGCAAACAGAGCATAGTCGTTTCCGAATTTCAACCAAGACATGGTTAAAATTCTGTCTGCAAATATAAATAATCAGGCAAATAAATGCAAAGGAAAAGGCGAACTCATGAAGGCAAAGGTCCAGAAGAGTGGTGAGGGAAAGGGCTGCTGAGATGGAGGGAGGGACAAGGCTGGAATAAGGGGAGAACGTGAGGCTCCTCTGAACGCCCCCTCCTCAAAAAAAAACCCACCCAGCAACATGCTCTGATTCACCCCGCTATAAAGAGGAAGCCTACTGCACCCTCCCCTCCTCTGCTCATGTGGGTGTTAGCTTTGCATGAAGCTTTTTCGCCTTTGTTGTGCTATGACTGCTGACTAACCACCAGAACCGCTACCCCGAAAAAAACCATCATCTTTTTATATTTTTGACATGGTGCCTTTGTCATACTGATTTAGAAAATCCCTTTAAACAGCTAAAATCGTTGACTGATCAGTATACATTTTCAGCTGTTATACAGATTACATTCGCTGTTGCAAACTACCTGTAGGTCAGAACATTTCCGGATTCCCTGAGTTACTTAACGATTTATTATTTACCGAGAAATCAATCCAAGCCTACCTCTTCATTTCAGTACTATTTTTAGGCCCTTGTTGACTTGGAAATGCGTATGATATACATTACACAAGTAGCTGCTACGCTAAGCAGGACAAAGGCAGGAGGGAACAATAAAGAGGGGATTTTTAATAGGAACAACAGCTAAGAGTGCCTTAGTAAAGTATTTAGCTAGGTAAGCAAACCTTGTGTGCACAAACTTTGTAAATAACTGCCTTGTTTTGCTTAAAATTGTGATATAAAATGAGAACTGTGGTGCATTGATCCTCTTTTTTGTTGTCGCTAGCCCTTTGCTACCTAGCAAGCTAGCAGAGTAAAGTAGCTGCTATGCTAAGCAGGACGAGGGAAAGAGGGGATTTTTAATAGAAATTACAGCTAAGCCAGCTTTACTGAGGTAATTTGCTAGGTAAGCAAACTTTGTGTGCACAAACTTCGTAAATAACTGCTTTGTTTCGCTTAAAATTGTGATATAAAATGAGAACTGTGGCGCATTGTTCTTTTTTGTTGTCGCTAGCCCTTTGCTACCTAGCAAGCTAGCAGAGTAAAGGAAGAAAATCACATTAGCAGTTCTGCTTAACAGAAAGCATTACCATTAAATGTTATCATTTTTAAGCAAGAAAGATTTTAAAGTGTTATATTGCTCTGGGACAAGTACAGCTTTGGCCCCCATGTTTTTAGCTTCTAAAAAGAAGCTGGCTTCGTCTCAGACCACATACTACTATACTAAATAGTATGCAAAAACAGCACAGATATTAGCAGTACATTCATTAGTATGGCATGTATAGTGTAGTAGTATGTGGTTTGAGACGCAGCCGCTGTGTCAGATTGCAATGACTTCTGGGCAAGCCCTGCTGCTGAGGTCTACATTTACATTGGCTCAATCTCTCAGCCCTCCAAGGAGTCATTTAACCTCACTTGAGCTAATATTTTAACGGAACTGCCCGTAAAACGACCTCAGTGATTCGCCCGGTGGAAAATGTCGAGGCTAAGTCAACGAGGAGCTGTTAAAAGAGTGCGGAAACTGAGAATTCATCACACTGATTGGTTCCCTTCAAAAGCAAAGGAGTCGTCTGCAGTCAGCAAATGGACATGCTTACTGGGAAAGAGTTTCAGGTGCAAAGAGCAAATCAAATCAAAAAAAGGGGGAGTGGAAGTGGTGGAAATGATGATGGCTACCACCATTACTCTAAACCAACCAAAAATCAACAAATACAAAAAAGAAAAACAGCTCAGGTGGTTTCATTATTGCCATTAATTATTTATTTCTGATTGCTTATATCGATGCAGATCCATTTTTAATGTTTTACTTTCCAGTTGGCAGTACCTTAAGTCTCTGCTCGCCTAGTCCTAATGCAGCATCCTCCGCAAAGATTGGATCCCACATCGAGTCATACACGTCAATTTCCCTCTGTTTCATTCTGGCATACAGAGCATCGTCTCTCTGAACTACATTTCCCACCATCCACTGCAAGTACACAAAATCAGCACTGTTACTTGGGAAATGGAAGCTTTGCGACACTCAGAGAATGATAGACAGATAGAGAGAGAAAGAGTGAGCGAGGGAGAGTGAGAGACAGAGAGAGAGAGAGTGAGAGTGAGAAAGAGATAGAAGGGTTTTGGCACATCTAACTTATTCAAGCTCAATAAGATTATGAAGCGAGCGGCTTGACGCCCTGCCAGCCCTGAGCTGAGAGATGACTCGCCCTGTGAAACGGCAAGGTCACCACTTACTGCTACCCAAACTCTGTTCTGATCCGCCAGAGGAAAAATAAAAGCACACAATGTCCTTTGGAGGGTAAAAATCCATTAAACTGTGGTTGATCAGCAAACCTACGCCACTGGAAAAAAACATAAAGGTGAATTTCCAGAGTCATAGCAAAACCTAAAGCCCATTGATCCTGAAAGGGCGCGGGACAGAAGTCACAACACATAACCTCAAAATAACAAACCAGCTATTGCAGAGGAACAGCTGCGCTGGACCAAACCCTGACCAGGTGTTTTTTTTGTTTTTTCTGTTTTTTATTTTTCTGTTTTTTGACATGAGGGCATCCAGACGGACGCTACCTTGTTGGGGTCGGGCCGGAGTTTTTCGTTGTTGGCGGTAGCCGCCTTCTCCGCCGCTTTCTTCTGTCTCTGAGGGCCCCGGCCGAAGAAGATGTAGTTGACGAAGGCGTACTCGAGCAGGGCCAGGAAGACGAAGACGAAGCAGCCCATCAGGTACATATCTATGGCCTTCACGTAGGGGATCTTGGGAAGGGTCTCCCGCAAGTGGGTGTTAATGGTGGTCATGGTCAGCACAGTGGTGATACCTGCAGGTCAAGGGCAAGGTGGTATGTAGAGAATAAAAAATAGCATTAAACAGGACATCACAGGACATCAGGTTTTTCACAGTTTTTTGGAATGAAATAGTTTAATGTAGGACGCAAGCACTGTTAGCACATTCACTCCCTAGTCCATAGAAACTAAGCTGCAAAAACAGCCCACTTTGATTTCATTGTTTGTGTGACGCCCCAAAACTTGTTTAAACATATCCACCTATTCCGCTTTCAGCAGCCTAGCTCCGCCCATTCACGCTGAAGTTATAAGAAGTGTTTCAGCCTGGCCTGCTTTCTGAATGAGATACAATACAGCGAAACCCGTCACAAGAGAGCTTGTCTACCTATATCGGTCTTAAAGGCACAGTAACAAAAACAGCCTGTTTAATTTTAAGGGATAAAAAGAGGTTGGAAAACGGTCATATGAAATGAATTACAACTGTTTTTGCATCCTTAAAACCACACAGACATCAAAAGGGGACAACATTTAAATGTAGGATATGGCCCCCTTAATGACGCCACTCACACTTCACTTTATTACCCTGCAAAAAATGGTATGTTTTCAAGTGAAATGATCTTAAATCCAGGCGATATATCTAATATTTCGCATTTTGAGATGGCTGTGCTCTTATTATAAGATTATCTAATTTATTTCTAGACACTGTTTTCTTGTTTTGTCAAGTAAAATTATTTAACTGCTGGCCTCAGGCACTTTTCTTAAAACAAGCTAAATTTTCTGCCAGTACTGTTAGATAATTTTACTTAATAAAATTGCTTAAAACAAGTAAAAATGTCTAGACATAAGGTAAATAATCTTAGGCTTACAACAATCTCGATAGGAGAAATATTAGGTTTATTGACTAAGATACCATTCTAAAAACACCTACTTTGTACTTGCACTCCCTGGCCACTTTTTTGGAAACACCTACTACATACAGTCAAATGCAAAAGTTTGTGTTGATTTTCTAACTGAAATTAAGTTACACATCCACTACAGAGAACGCACTTCTGCACTTTTTAATGCACAATTACTGTTTATTTACTGAATTTAACATATAGGAAAGAAACAAAACATAAAATGTGGCCTGTGCAAAAGTTATGGGACATTTTATATTTTATGTTATGGTCCAATAAAATAAATTCAGCAAATAAATAGAAATTGTGCTCTAAAATTAACAGAAAAATGCCATAATTAATTGTATTCCTGTAGTTATTCAATTCAAAATCAGCACAACATGTCATTTGGGGTGTTTAAACTTTTGCATATGACTGTAGGTCCATTGTATAAGGTTATAGACTCTCGCCCATCAGCCATGCGCAATTAACCTATCCGTGCCCCACGCTTTGCTTTTTTGTGGCAACTGTTGCCAAGCTGGACAAGCTTTACAGGATTCTGAATCCCATTCAACCTAATGAGAAGGTGTAGCCCACAGCTCACTCTGGGTCAGAACGCCTATATTTACAGTGTATTACTCACTTTTAAATGTTTTGTATCCTGTATGTTGTGAAAGGTTATACTAATTGGGTCCAGTGCTATTGACATATAACCTTATCCTGCATAACCGCTACAGCAGGGACCCGCGATTGAATCACATGTTTGTATATAACTTATCATTTTTATCATTTATTCGCTGGGATCTAAAGGTTTCTGCCTCTACTTGTGTGTGTCTGTTGTTGTCTCAGAGCAGCTTCACTTTATCAATATGTCTCAAGGCTGAATTAGGTTTTGTAAAGTTTGTTGAACCTAGCAACAGTATCTAAGAAACAACGATTGATAGGTCAGTTTGACAGCCAGCCTGTGCCCCATTCATCATTGGTCAGGAAAGCTGTTGTCCAGATGTTATTTGGAAGGTGAATCATTCTCAGCACAGCAGTGACACTGACACGATAGAGTGTGTAACGTCGGTACGAGTGTATCAGACACAACTGTGTTTCAGGGGTTTTTACACATGTCAGTACTGACCATGGATAAAGGTGGATAAAAAATACTGTACAGCAACAGATAAGCCACAATTTCTAACTCTACACCAGCGAGATGGAGCTACAAGGTAAGAGTTTCCAAAAAGGTGGCCAGCGAGTATACAGCTAAGTATGTGGACAATGCTATAGTACAGCGGCAGGGACAGCAGTGTAATACTGCACTCTAGACAGCAGAACAGTACAGTGCAGCACAAGAATCACCATGTAAATAGCAATATAGCACAGAAGCAATAGCAACAGAGTACAGGAACTCAAGAAATAATACAGAGTAATGCTAAGAATGAGTGTTGTATTAAAACTTATGAAGAAAAGTTTAATTTTCCCATTTTTAGTGTTTACACCCTTCATAAACCTGCAGCTGCCATTGTGGTGGCACCTAATGATGACTGGCCCATTTACAATGACTTGGTATGAAATCTTGTTCAATAAGGTTATGGATGTTCAATAAGGTTAAGGATGATCAATAAGGTTATGGATGTTCAGTAAGGTTAAGGATATCCTGAATGGTGCTACTCATTGACCCCGTCGCCCAGGACATCATGAGTTTACTCATGATCGTGACTCCTGGATCATGAGTCTAAAACAGCATGACTGTCCTCACTCTCTCTGGGTGAGTAGAGTGGCTCTTCCTTTCCTAACATCACTCAGCACAATGCTAACCACCACAGTGTCTGTTAGCTAATTCTTAGCAGTTAGCGTTCTCCTCCAAAAGCTGTGAGCCGTCCAACGATGTTGTGTTACTGGCAGTTTGGAAAAATGTGGTGGTTTCATGAGTCTCTGAGTAAACACATGCCAGCTCTAACCCTCCTAGCTTGTTAGTATAGTGTGATAGGTGGAGACCCAGGCAGAATCTCAAATGGGTCCCTAGGCTACGTTCACATTACAAGCCTCACTGATTTTTCACTTTTTTCCGATCTCTCTGACTTGATGGTTCACACTCGTTTAGGTAAGTGATTCAAAACTGTCATTAATGTGAACGAACCGGCGTCCTGAAATGACCCGCATGTGAACATCCTACTCAGCAATGAATCATGTCACTCGAATGAATCACGTGCATCATCAAACAGACTAACGAGCAGAACGAGCTTCGCTGTGAAGATCATTAACTCTGATCAGCTCTCAGCTTCATTATTAGAACGAGATGAAGGAGAAAAAGGTGAGATGAGCTGCTTTTCCACTGTTTACAGGCTTTAACTTCTGTTCGGCGCTGCTGCCATGGTAATGCTAAATGGTGGTGCACATGCAGGGGAAAAAAAGCACATGAATTCTGATCTGAGCGTCACATTAAGGTTGCAGGGCCATGGATCGGATACGTATCTGATCTAGGACCACATATGAAAGTGGCTCAGATCTGATCTGAAAAGATCAGATTTGTGTGTCCACAAAGCCTTGAAAACATCAGATCTGAGTCGCATTAGGGCAAAAAATCGGATTTGTGCCACTTCAACCTGGTAATGTGAATGTAGCCCTAGTCCCTACTTAATGCACTATATAGGTCTTAGAATAATGGCTCCTGGACCAAAACAGTGCATAATTTAACATATATAACTCCCATAGTGCACTATCAGTGCATATGATCATTTAATGTTACTCTAAAGCCTCTGAGATGACATCACCAAAAACCTGCTTGCCATTAAGTATTCTTAATATAACTTTCAGTCTTCAAAAAAAGGAAGCTATTTGAGATTTGGCCACTAATCCTGTAGGCCAGACTTCTGACTTTGTGGGAGAGTTTGGTGCATTCTGTCACAAACCAATGTGGCTACCATCAAAGAGAAAAAGGCATCGGAAAGCTTGAGGATAACTAGCTTAAAAGTTACTAAATGTTTCAAAGAAACCTCTTGGATAACTTTGAAAGATGTAAATCCATGAACTTTTTTGAGTCTAGCAACTATCTCGCTCTGAAAGGCTCGATCATGGGGAACAGAGCAGCCAACTGCTTGCAAAAGTCTGTCAGACTGATAAAAGTAATGTGTACACAAGGCTGTGCAGATAGCCAATCAAATTCCTGATAGTTGTGGCCAACTTAATGCAAAAGATATTAGGGGCAGAGTGTCTGAGGTTGAGACTAAAATGAGAAGGAAATTGGGTAAAAATGCAAAAGACAATGTTATTCTACTGTTATAAAGTCACCTTTTCAGGGATACGACAGTGACGTTAGTGTGGTGCTGTGGAAACAGCAGTAGAGTCCAGCACAATGGACCACAAAGGAGTACAGAAGTGAAGCAGTATAGAGCATCACCACTGTACTGTACTCAATCCAGTTCTGTGCGATTTTATATTCTAGAGAGTGACACGTTTTTATTACACAATATGAAATAACCTTGCTTTGCTTCATGTCACCATTTATCACCCTCACAGCACACAGAATGGATCCATAAATAAACAGTATGAAAACATAGCTGCCTAATGTAAACAGAGAAATGATGCTGCCAAAAGTCACTGTCCTCTCCCCTTCCGTCACAGCCAGGGCTGCAAAAGCACATCCTGTATTTCTCTCGTTTCCGGCCGTCCGGCGGTGTTCCTCACATGCCGGCTCACCTGCCTGACATAGCGCCATTGTTTTTGATGAGTGAGGCGTCTGTATGTACAATCTGTTTAAATTCATATGTACCTAAACAAACACGCTCAGTGTCGACTGCCTCTGATAGTGATCTAATTTACTACCATAGAGAGAGAGAGAAAGAGAGAGACAGAGAGAGAGAGAGAGAGAGAGAGAGAGAGAGAGAGAGAGGGAGAGAGAGAGACTGAATAAGCAGACAGAGAGGATGACGGAGATAGATAGCAAGACAGAGAGATGATTACAGAGAAGAGGAGAAAAAACTAAGAAACAACACAGAAAAAGAGAGAGATGGGACAGAAAGTGAGAAAGAGCAATGAATGAGAGAAAAAGACACTGAGAGACAAAAAAAGAACGAAAAAAGAACGAAAGAAAGAAAGGATGAAAAAGAGAGAAACTGGGAGATATAGATATAGAGAGAACTGAGAAAAAGGAGAAAATGAGAAAACAACTAAGAGCGGGAAAGAAAGAAAGAAAGAAAGAAAGAAAGAAAGAAAGAAAGAAAGAAATAGAAACAGACAAAAAGAGGAGCTAAGAAAAAGAAAGAAACAAAGAAGGAAGATAAACGCTGAAACAGAAAAACTCAGACAGAAAAAAGAGGAAAATGGGAGACAAAGAAAGAGATGAGAACTGAGAAAAAGGAAAGAATGAGAAAACAACTAAAAGCATGAAAGAAAGAATAAAAAGAAAAAGAAAGAAAGAAAAAAACTGAGACAAAGAAAAAAGAGCAAAGAAAAAGAAAGAAACAAACAAAGAAGGAAGATAGATGGTGGAAGAGAGAAACTCAGAGACAAAGAAAAAAGAGGAAGAAAGGAAGAAAGAAAGAAAGAAAGAAAGAAAGACAGAAAGAAAGAAAGAAAGAAAGAAAGAAAGAAAGAAACTGAGAAAGAAACAAAGAAAGGGATAGTAACTGAGAAAAAGGAGAGAATGAGAAAACAATTAAGAGCATGAAAGAAAGAAAAGAAAGAAAGAAAGAAAGAACAACAAAGAGGGGGAAAAAGGCAAAGATGAAAAGAAAGAAGAGAGAGGGCAAAAGAGAATGAGAAAAGAGAGAGCACGAAAGAGAGAGGATCAGAGACAAAGAAAAGGAGAGGAACGGAGAGAAAGAAAGGGAGAGAAAGAGAAAGAAAGAGCAGGGAAGAGAGAGAAAACCAATCAGAGAGAAGGAGGGAGAAGAGAGAGATGGGAGAAAAAGAGACTGACTGAGAGACCATGAACAAAAGAGAGAGAGAGAGAGAGAGAGAGAGAGACAGTGACTTTCTTAGGCTTCTAATAGAGCTATTGTATTTCACTCTAAACATCACGCGGAGGCTGTAGCATCTGTTCAGCTGTCACACGGCTCTCAGTGCAGACAGATTGATTGTGACAAGCAAACCCAAAACGCTAAAGCGCTCCCTCGCTCATCAGTCACCTATTCTATCTGCTGCCTTCCCTGCAGGACCACTGGCAGAGACAGGCACTTTTTCATAACGGCAGAACACGGCCCTATTAGCCAGAGAACACATCAGTAACGACCATCCGGCCCAGAGTTTGTCAGCGCAATCAGAGGCGGTAGATCAGAGGGGATCCGCCCGTGCGATCTTCCGTGGGGTTCAGAGAGGACGGCTTTTTCTCCCAGTGCCGTTCCCCCCATCTCAACAGGGCACCCTGACTGTTTGGCTGCTTTATTGGAGCCGGGCAATTTCTACACCCACGCCAGCCCAGGCACCATCTAATCTAGTTTGGGGAAAGGCTGGCTGCCACAAAGCCCTGATCACAGAGCGTCCTCATTTCTACTTCAGGCGTCCTGCTGAACTGGGTGGGACCTTACGCAAACGTTAGGCTTTTGCTGACCTCTTGGTGTCCAACCTGATCAAAAGCCTTCTCCCCAGAGTCATGCAGCCAATATCCAATCAGTCAGGAGCATCTGAAGCAGGGTCATAAAATAAACTGGGCATTAAACTGGGCTCAGAACGAAAACATCCCAATAGCCACCAAAATGCTAGAGAAATATAAACACAGAAGGGCAAAAAATTACATGGATCTTGATTAAAAAAAATCGAATCCAAGGGGTAAAAACATGCCCACTTCATTCATTCTTTCATCATCTGACCCGCTTATCCTCCTGTGTCACAGGGGGGAGCTGGAGCCTATCCCTGCGCTCATTAGCCACATTTACATGCAGCCTGATAATCCGTTCATGATAAACAATAATGGCTTAATCAGAATAGAATACGTCCATGTAAACACCTCAATTGGAATAGGCTAGTCTGATTGAGGCTATTCAGAATACAATTTCTATCTGATTAACCGAGGTGGGTAATCCTGTAAATAATCCGTTAAATAGTAGAATAATATCCGTGTAAACGCCTGTCTGATTACATTCCCAATCAGAAAGTTTAAGTACATTCTGATCGTGTGCGTCGCATCATAGTGAAAGTTTATTACATTCAACATGGCGGAGCAGAAACAGCTCTGCAGAGGAGACGAAGTTTACGCTCTAATCTTTAAAAGTCAGCGGTGGGACGGACGTCCAGCTTATGTGTCTCAGAACACGACGTCTTCCTCTCGGCCTTTAGTAAGTATGTTTTCCTGAGTCTGACATCATTTTAAAGTAACAAAAACACAAGCACTGCTCACTGCTGCTCGTCTCACTCTGACTGGACTCACGTGATGCTCGCTGTCATGGCAACGTTTACATTAAGTGGTTCTATACACATGTGCATAATTTTGTATCGGATTACTTGTAGTGTGAATGTAAACTGAGATTTTCCATCAGATTGTTGAGTAGAGTGAGAATATAAACACTTCAGTCTTAATCTATAATCGAAGTGTGATCAATCAGATTGGCAAAAAATCTTTGCATGTAAACACAGCCATTGGGTGGAAGGCAGGAAACACCCTGGACATCCTGGGGGGCAATTTAGGATTACCAATTGGCCTGACTGCACGTCCTTTGATTGTGGGAGGAAACCCACACAGACATGAGGAGAACATATAAACTCCACACAGAAAGGGCCGTGGTTGCCCGGCCGGGGAATCGAACCCAGGCTCTTCTCCCTGTGAGGCAACAGTGCTACCCACTGCCCCTGCCTTCTTAATTTCTACGTCTGTTGGAAACATGCTTACTCACCTCTTACAGCAGAACTGCAGTAGTATCTAAAGTGAGATTTTCTCATTTAAGGACTACAAAATCCCCTTCTGATGATGCATCTTGAAGGTGAAAGTGATTTTAAGTGCTTTGGTTTGTGCTGTTTGACTTTTTTCCACTAGCTGGCTGAATACCTCCTTCAATAAAGAAACAGGTTTGAAAAACTGAGGTAAGTGCTATATCACTACGGCTAGCTAGCACCACAGATGTGTTTAGTAACCTCTAGATCAGCGGCTAACATTCAGGATTTGGTGAGCGCTGTAGAGATTCTTTAATGATGCGTGAAGTATTTGCTTAATGCATGCTGGGTGTTGTAGTAAGAGAAGGACAAAAACACAAAAACAGTACAAACTGTGGATGCTGAACTACAGAATGTTACATAACATAACCTATAGTAAACGTAACATATTAAAGGTTAGTTATAGGCCTGAATGTCCCTTTAACATTACATCCAGAAGTATCAGAAGGGCTGGAAATAAACAATGCAGAAAAGCAGATCTCTAGAACAGGGCTGGACATTGGAGTTTCTCCACATAGCTCCACTGTTTTGGTGCAAACCTGTCACAAGCCTCGGGTAGCAGCGGCTCCTAAAACAATTTCTAGATTGTCTGAGTGCTAGCTTACGCCTGAAGCATTTTCCCTGCCCATATTAAATTTAAGATGGCTCAAGATGAAAAGCAAGGAAGGAAAATAAATCAATCTTTGTCACTTGAGTTTTGGTTTGGTGGTTGGATTGGTAAACGTTTTATGTATAGCCTCTTTATACATCTAGATCCTTGAGGTCATAAGTTCAAATAAAATCAAATATTGAGCTATACATAAATATATATATTTATATGTACACACACACACACACACACACACACACACACACACACACATATATATATATATATATATATATATATATATTTCTATAGTGCTTTTTACAACAAAGACGAACACAGGCAGGTTAAACATAGGCATTTGATCATACTTATATGATACTTGGAATATTTTCCTGAGGTAAGCCAGTGTTGGGTGTATTCAGGCTGTTAGAGTTCAGTATGAGTGGTCCTCAGTCCCAGTCCTAAGGGACCCCTGTGTTCTCCTTGCTCTAACACACCTGGCTCATCTTGGCAGCTAATTATCAAGCCCTTGAATCGACAAGTTGAATCAGGTGTGTTCAGGCAGGGAAATTACTAAACTGCACTGAAGTCCCCCAGGACTGAGTCTGAGCAGCTGTACTGTACAAGACCAGCCCCAATATGAAGCACATGCTGTGCAATACCAGCCTCAATCTAAGGCCTATGGCCTACAGAACCAACCCCAATTTGCGGCAGATATTCTGTAAAACCAGTCCCAGTATGGAGCCTATGGTCTATATAACCAGCCCCATCATGAAGCCTATGGTTAGCAGAACCAGCCCCAGTATGGAGCCTATGGTCTATAGAACCAGCCCCATCATGAAGCCCATGGTTAGCAAAACCAGTCCCAGTATGAAGCCCATGGTCTACAGAACCAGCCTTAATGTGAAGCCCATGGTCTACAGGACCAGTCCTAATACAAAGCCTGTCTACTGGACAAGCCCCAGTATGGAACCTATTTACAGAACCAGCCCCAGTGCAAAGCCTATGTTCTGCAGAACCAGCCCCAAAACAACATCTGTGGTTTACATGACCTACCCTGACATGAAGCCCACCATCTACAGGACCAACTCCAGTATGAAACCCAGGACAGGACCTGTCCTTATGTGAAGCCCATTGTCTACAGAATCAGTTCCAGTATGAAGCTTATGGTCTATAGAACCAGCCCCAATATGAAGTTCATGGTCTATAGAACCATTCCCAATATAAAGCCTACAGTCTATAGGACCAGCCCCAACATAGATCCTGGGGTCTACAGACTTAATATGAAGCTCATGGTCTACAGAACCAGCCTCGAAATGAAACCTATCACCTACAGGACCAGTCCTAATATGAAGTCCATTGTCAACAGAACCAGCCCAAATATCAAGCCAGTGGCCAGCAGAACCAATACGAAGCTCATGGTCCACAGAACCAGTCCCAGTATGAAGCCTGTCATCTGCAGAACCAGCCCAATTTGAAATTTATGGACAGAAATCCCACCTAAAGCCACACGGGCAGCAGAGGCGTCATAGTTGATCCAGAAGGAGACCCAGGACAGGATGGTGATCAGGATGGAAGGCATGTAGGTTTGCAAGATGAAGTAGCCGATGTTCCTCTTCAGTTTAAAGCTCAGGGACAAACGTGGGTATGAACCTGGTTGAGATAGAGAGAGAGAGAGAGAGAGAGAGGCCGGTGACATAGCACAAATGTACAAGATCAAAAAAACAAATAAATCCCAGTCTTACCTACCAGTATCAGTGCTTTGCTTATATCTGGGTATATTTTGCAACACTCATGTTCACCAATGTGTCTTCCTAGCTATGAAGAGCAGATTTTATCTTAATCATTATTTGACAGTTTTCATTTGCAGACTATTGTTAACAGCACATGCTGGAACTCTTTTGGCCTAAAGGTGGTTTAAACAGCTTAAAAGAGTTTGAGTGCAGATGAGTGCTGATATTACAAGGGACAAAATAAGGAGCTTTTCTCTCAGTTATCTATTTTAATATTTTAAGTTGAAGTTAATTTGGATTTAAGATATTTTGAAAAGCTTGATGGACAATACACAGATCAGGCATAGCATTATGACCACCTCCTTGTTTCTACACTCATTGTCCATTTTATCAGCTCCACTTACTATATAGGTGCACTTTGTAGTTCTACAATTACAGACTGTAGTCCATCTGTTTCTCTGCATCCTTTGTTAGCCCCCTTTTACCCTGTTCTTCAGTGGTCAGGACCCCCATGGACCCTCACAGAGCAGGTACTATTTGGTACGAGGATGGTATTTTTAATTGGTGGACTATTCTCAGTCCAGCAGTGACACTGAGGTGTTTAAAAACTCCAGCAGCACTGCTGTGTCTGATCCACTCGCACCAGCGCAACACACACTAACACACCACCACCACGTCAGTGTCACTGCAGTGCTGAGAATGATCCACCACCCAAATAGTACCTGCTCTGTGAGGGTCCATGGGGGTCCTGACCACTGAAGAACAGGGTAAAAGGGGGCTAACAAAGGATGCAGAGAAACAGATGGACTACAGTCTGTAATTGTAGAACTACAAAGTGCACCTATATAGTAAGTGGAGCTGATAAAATGGACAATGAGTGTAGAAACAAGGAGGTGGTCATAATGTTATGCCTGATCTTTGTATGTGTTGTTAACAACATAAGATTTTCAAATTTAGCTGTAAATTGTATGATGAAAGACAAGCTTTTGGTTAGAAAAAGATGCACATGGTTTGGCAAAATGCTCCTCCTTATTCTCACAAATACACAAGACCAAGGAACCAAACTAATCACTCCAAAATCGCTTGATTCGTGTTATGAATGCCTGACTTTGACAAACACTTCTCGGACCAGTCCTGCCCGGGGCATCTGAACCAGCCCAAAGTGAAAAAACACAGAAACGTCTACTCTGCCAGCCTAGACCTTGCCTGCCTCTTTTTTGTTCCTGAAAGGCAGACCAGCGACGGTAATAACACAAGCCAAAAAAAACTCAAATTATGCTCTCTTACTCACTGACTTACTCATCCTGCATCGCTCGCAGGCTGGACGGGGTCATTCTACCAAAGCCGTCACAGTCGCAGCGACACTCCGGCTTTGGCCTGTCTCTCTTTGGCCGCACAAAGCCACGTTTGTTTTGGCCGTAGGGCATGTGTGCTGGTGTGCGTGATTGGTACCTGTGGAGAAGACCACGTTCTTGGAGATGAGTTTGTAGTCCACGATTGAAAACTGAGGCAGCTCGATGCGCTCCACTCCAGACACAGCCCCGTCTCCTCCTCTCCAGTAGAACTCAATGTCGTCTGTGGTGTAGCCATCTGTAGGGAGAGAAAGACGAGAGAAAGGTCTATCAGCATGGGCAGAAAGAAGGAACGGCAAAACCCTCTCAGCATCCCATTATTAGCATAAGTTGATTTTGTTGCATCTCCTTAAAAACAGTATTTCATGACTACCCAGTACTACAAAGCACACAAGATGAGAAGTAGTGATCAACAAGACAATAATGTACTCCTAAGGTTATTTGTGGAAAAGAACTGAGCGTCTGATCTTAACCATTAATTGTTTAGCATTATCATTTATGAGATAAGCTGTACATTATAGTACAGGTCACTGGAGTACATTATATATATCACTGTTCTCGAAAGAAAACCTCGTATCTCCAAAATTGTAACTTTACAGGAAAAGGAAAAAACCTACTTTAGTTTTAATGTAAGTCAATGAAACCAGACTTTTTTCCAAGTCATTTTGGGTCGTTTCTTTTGTTCCATTCTTCATGAAATGAAGACACAATGTGAAGGGCAACAGATACTTTCAAATTATGTCAAAAACTGAAAAACAACAAAAATGGAGAGGTTTTGTTCTGCCAGCAACGTTACACGTCTATGGAGCAATTGGAGCAACTTTTATTAGAGGGGGAGCGAATTTGTGCTTTATTGAAACAATAGTTGACTTTCAGTGTAAATAATTGCATTTTTTACATGATTTCATCAGCCTTTTGTAAAACACTTTAGAGTGAGAGCAGCGGAGATACCACAAGAATTGATTCCACTCGTGGAGCAGGGCACTGAGTATGTCAGTACAACACAGAAATGCCACCGTACACCAGACACACTGCGCAACATAGCGTCATGTAGCATTGTGTAGCAGATAGAACAAAGTGCTGCTGCCAGACCTCAAGCCCAAGATCATTTTACACTTTCCTCTTTCAGCATCTTTAGTGAATTCATCACGTTTGGCATCACAAACAGTTAAAGAAGGTGAAAAAAGGCTGGTGACACTGGCCGTGGTGACACAGTGAGCACTCGCCTGTTTATCTTAAAGTCAACCTGAAATCAAAATGGACATTTTTTTGACCTTGTTATTACACATCCTTGGTCACAATAAGCACAACCCATGTGGCATATCATTAAAAAGACAAAATCTTTAAGCTCTCTGCAGTCTTTAATTGAAGTGTAGTGATTTCTGCCTGCTTCTAGACCTCGTCTGATCTTTGGTTGTGTCACCGCGTTCCACCGTCAGGAAAACTATACTAATCAATAATATCTCTATCACTGTGACCGAGAACACCCATCATCACCTCCACTCCCGGCTGCATGAGCATGCATGTCGGCAGATAACCTCCTTGACTCTCCTCACTTTATTCTTGCACTTTCTATGTTTGGACAGATTGGATAATAATCACTTATATTTCATATTGATATTTCAGATAATTTACGCTGAAAACCTGTGTTCATGTTAACTGGAGTGAGGTAGTTCAGATATCTAGCAGAATCGTTGGCAGAACCTTAGGAAGTTACACTCATACAGGGGTTTATTTAACCTGACTTCTTTGCTCTTCTCTTGCTTTTGCTGTGAAAGTGTAAGAAAAGCGAGAGCAGCGCAAATGCTAACAGGCTAGCCTGCTGACCAGCACTTTGCATTGTCTACATCTTTAAAGGTAAAAAAGTACATATTAAAAGTGATCTTTCAATTCATGAATCATGTTTCAGAAACTACAGAAAATACACATCAAAATACTGTAGTACTTAATTTTTTTTTTTACAAAAAAGTGTCTGCTTTTTCTTATTTTTTTCCTTTGGGCTTTCAGCAAAATAGACGGATCCTGCTGATCATGAAAAGTGGGCATCCAATCAAATCCTGATGAATAAGATCATCTCCAGCCCACAATTATGTCCCAGCAGAGTAGCCTGTTCCACTCAGAAATATGTCATGTTAAAGAAGAAAAAGGCACTCTGATTTCTGATTCACACTGACTGAGTTTACTTTGGGATTGACTGCTTTCTCTGTATAAATTTCAAGCTTTGTCACCTACCTTCAATTTCTGTGGTCTCATTCTGGGCGTAATTTATGCAAAATCAGTAAAAGTGGCATGCTGTTGTGCTGAGACAATAAGCAGTGTTTGGAGTCGCTAAGCACCAGCGGTGGTGTATGCGGCTTCTTTTAAAACACTTTTCAGATTTGTTGGATGCTGTGAGGTGCTGGTGGCCTTAAGAGTAGTTCATGGTTTAGCAGAGACAGACCATGTGACCAAAACACAGACAAAAATATAAAGCTGGTCACATTTTGTGTGTATTTTATATGTTGTCAAATAAGTTTATATTCAGTAAACATCACTGATTAATTCTTCATGAACAATTTCAGTATCTTGCAGTCTGCAACAAAGTGTTGCCGGCATTAATCTAACACATGATCTAGTTAGATATCATCGCTGTCCAAAGAAAAACACACATCTCCATGTTTTTTAGATGTTTACATATCTATGCCATTTGAGCTCAGCAGCCGTCTTTTATACTGTGTGACAGTTTCATGGTGAATGGACTAATAGAAATGCTCCAAAATGGCTTGGGATAACATCTCTTTACATTAACTTACAGTTAAAATAAAGAATGTTTTTGCCCTCTCCTGTAAACTGACCATTTTGAAGATACTTGGTCTTTTTTGGACAGCAGCGAGATGCTAGTTGATTAATACAGTATTGTTTTCAAGTTTTCACCTAATGTTAAATAGCTAGCAAGTGTGAGCTAACATTTTTAAGGTTTATTTATAAGTCTAAGTGAACAAAAACTAGTAACTGTTCCTCAGTGAACAACTGCAAGGATTTTAGGTATTTCATCCTATATGGTGCATAATATCAAAAGATTTGGGAAATCCAGAGAAATACTGAATACTGAACCCCTCAGACGGCAATACATTAAAAACCAACAAGCTTTTGTAATTAATATAACCACACTATTAGGAGCCCCATTTTCTGTGTAAATAGTATTTTTTTACAGCTGTAGTTTTGGAAACTCCTGTTATTTTCATTTACTTTGCTTGACGCTCTACTTCCTTATGCAAGTGGATATCTTATATTTAATCTCCTCGGAAGTCTCTTCTGAAAAATGAATAACATAATGTCCTTAATGGCTTTTTTGACTGGAAATGAAATAAATGAGTCTCTGTCTTTTGCACATCACTGTGTATTATATACTATTACACTATAAATATTGACAACAACAGTAGGATTTCTAAACAGGCTGTAACTAAACGATGCCGGGACAGCTTTTGGTTACAAAAGCACACACACAAACACACATGGCTGAGGCAGTGTGCTCGCTGGCCCGTGTTTTCTTCTCTTGCATCGTTACAGTGGATCCCGCTTCATCTGCTGCAGCGCGTGTTGCTGCTTGCGACTCATAATGAGAACCAGTGACCTATTTAGTGTTATAAATAATTAAGGGTGAGTTTCTGAATCTTCATGTTTAAGGGCGTCAGCTGTGCAGCACTTAGTGGCCAGGTACTGGCTTAAAAAGCCCCCCACCCCCCACCCCCCACCCCCCAACACATACCACAAAACACACACACACACAGCACTCGTGAGTGGGGCTTATTCATCCTGTTTAATGGAGGGCTAGACGAACAGGATGTAAAAGATGATAACGGCAAAAAGGTTTTCGGACGACCGAGGTGTACCCGTGTCATCCTCCTGTCTGTGCAGGCTTTTAAATGGGGAGAGAGAGAGAGAGAGAGAGAGAGAGAGAGAGAGGGAGAGAGGGGGGGGGGCTCAAAATGGAGAAAGAGAGCCACAGACTGATAAAAAGATAATGATACAGAAAGAGAGGAGAGTGAGGGACAGACAGAGAGAGAAAGACAGAAAGAAAAGAGAACAGAGAGAGAGAAGAGAGAAAGAGAAAATAAAAGAAAAGGAGAAAGGAAAAACAAAGAGACAGAAAGAGAGGGAGTAAGAAAGAGAGAGTAAGAAATATAGAGAGAACAGTGATAAAAATAATGGGTGGGAGAAAAAAGGAGAGAGAAAGAGAAAGATAGAGAAAGCAAGAGAGAAGAGCGATAGGAGAGAAGGAGAAAGGAAAAGACAGAAAGAGGAAAACAGAGATGGGGAGAGAAGACAGAGAAAAGAAGAAACACAGACAGAAAATGATAGAGAGAGAGAAAAAGATAGAGTAAGAAAGTCAGAGAGAGAGAAGTGATAAAAATACTGTGTGAAAAAGAGAGACAGAAGGGAGATAGAAATAAAAAGAGAAAGAGAGAGACAGAGTGGAGAGAGAGAAAGAGAGAAAGACAGATAGGAAAAGAGTGGAGAAACAGAGCAGAGATAGAAAAAGAGGAGAAAGAGAAAGAGAAAAAACAGATAAAAATAGAGAGACAGGCAAAGACAGAAAGAGAAAGAAAGAAGAAAGTCAGAAAGAAAGAGAGAGAAAAAGAGTAAGAAAGAGAGATAGATGAAAGATAAAAGTATTGGGGGTGTGAAAAAGGAGAGAATGAAAGAGAGAGATAGAAAGAGATAAAACAGAGAGAAATACATAAACAAAAAGACAGACAGAGAAAGACTAGGAGAGAGAGAGAGAGAATGAGAGAGAGGGAGAGAAGAGATATATAGGAGGCAGAGTGAGGAGAGTTAGAAGAGAGTTGGAAGAGAGTGACAGAGGAAGAGAGAAAGAAAGAGATAGAGATGGAGAATGAAGTCAGAACGAAAGAGAAAAGAGACATAAAAATATTGAGCTAGAGAAGGAGAGGGAGAGAGAAATGGAGATGGAGAAAGAGAGAGAGAGAAGACAGAAAAGGAGAGAGTGAAAAAGAGAGAGACTTAGTGAGGAAAGTCAGAGAGAGAGAGAGAGAGAGAGAGAGAGAGAGAGAGAGTGACAGAGTGAGGAGTCTGCGGCTGTGCTAGGCTGGTCATTCGGATTCCATTAAATCCATTATCTCTGTGCCACTGAGTCTGCCTCTGTCAATCGACTGACTGACTTCTGTCAACAGATCACATCACTGTGCTGCAGAGAGAGAGAGAGAGAGGGGGAGAGAGAGAGAGAGAGAGAGAGAGCTGGAGCGGACCCCGCTTTATTAGCTCCTGCGGGGCTGAATAGGAGATCAGAGCGGCCGGGCTGGAGAGGAGGAGGAGGAGGATCCAGTGCTGCAATCTCTGCCTCAGAATCACCTCAATTAAAAATGGATCAAGAATCAAGTTTATCAAGGAAAAAAAAGGAGAGGAAGCCGGGCTCAGACCCACGGCTCATTAGGCTGCATGCAGCAGCGGGGAGCTACACACTGCAGTGAGACACTGGAGATACACACAGCACTGTGTAGAGGACTGTACAGTGCAGTCCTGGGCACTGAGTCTACAAACAGAGACAGGAAGGTTACAGAGAATAACAGAAAAAAGAGGTGCACTGGGCCAAAATGAAAAATGTAACCAGCGCTGCATCTGCTGTGAACATACCTGCAGTGGTGCCACAGCAGGCCTGAGAGTGAGAGGAGCCAAGGGATCTGGATAATGTAGAAAGAGCCGGCTATCTTAGTGGACTGCTCCGACACCTGTATTTATTCACCTCTGCATCAGTGCTTTTCTTTATCGCTATGGGGAAACTCACTATGGCTGTATGACGTGTTTGCACAATGCATGGTGGGTAATGTAGTTAGAGAGCACTGATGGATGAAAACATGAAAAGCATACAAAATGTTGAATTGTCAGTGACAGAGAAAGAGAGAGAGAAAGAGAGGGTGAGAGAATGGGAGAGAGAGAGAGAGAAAGAGAGAATGGGAGTGAGAGAAAGAATTAGAAAGACAGAGAGAGAGAAAGAATGAGAGAGAGAGAGAGAAAGAATGAGCAAGGGAGAGAAAGAGTAAGAAAGAATGAGAAAAAGAGAAAGAGAGGATGTGAAAGAGAGAAAGAGTGAGAGAAAGAGAGAAAGAGAAAGACAGGGAGAGAGAGAAAGAATGAATAAGAGAATGAGAGACAGAGGGAGAGAATGAAAGAGAAAATGTGAGAAAAAGTAAGAGAGAATGAAAGAAAGAGAGAGGGAGAAAGAGAGGGTGAGAGAACGGGAGAGAGAGAGAAAGAGAGAGAGAAAGAGAGAATGGGAGTGAGAGAAAGAATTAGAAAGACAGAGAGAGAGAAAGAATGAGAGAGAGAGAAAGAATGAGAGAGGGAGAGAAAGAGTAAGAAAGAATGAGATGAAGAGAAAGAGAGAACGTGAAAGAGAGAAAGAATGAGAGAAAGAGAGAGAAAGAGAAAGACAGGGAGAGAGAGAAAGAATGAATAGGAGAATGAGAGAGAGGAGAGAATGAAAGAGAAAATGGGAGAAAGAGTAAGACAGAATGAAAGAGAGAGAGAGAGATTAAGGGAGAATAAGAGAGGGGGGGAGAGAGAGAGAGAGAGAGAGAGTAAGGGAGAGAATGGGAGCTGGCTCTGTGCTGCTGAAGGCTCGTGGCGAGTGTGTGTGAGTGTGGGTGATCAAACGGACTCAGGCTGCTCCTCCTCGTCTCCGCGTCTCCAGGGAGGCCCGTAAAGCTCATGCTGAACCTCAGGACCCTCACACAGGCCCAAATCCTGCACTACACACAATCACACACTGTAATGACCAAGTGTAAAAGGGCCTTCGTCCTGATGGAGAGGAGGAGGACGGTGGGCTTTTGTTGGAGCTGTAATGGTTTAATCTGCTCCTGCAGCCAAGGCCTTATTAACCCAACAGGCCTGGGTGCTGCGGCACAGAGCTCCGACCCCTGGCCTGCAGGGGACTCTGTGAGCATGACTGTGATAGCAGATGGAAAATATGTGCACGGAGATGGAGATTTTTATAGAGATTCATCCTTTTAAATTATCCATAGTTTGGTGGTGAATTTTGTTTGCCGTTGATGTGTCTCGACTGAAGGACAGTTGCTAGGTAGGCTGCAGCAGTCTTAGCAGCAGTGGCCTGCGGAGGAGCCTTCCTCTGCAGCTAGCGCCAAATGTCATGGCAACTGCAGCAGTGTTATAATTTCTACCCAATCGGCTGAGACTGCAGTTTAAAATGTTTGAACTATGATCTGACCGATATATTGGCCGATTTTATCAAACCACTGCATTATCGCTATCGGCCAATAACATGCCAAAGTGTACGTGTAGCTTCAGTGTATTATATCTCCAAAATAGTAACTTTACAGGAGACGTAAAAAACACACTCTACTTTTAATGTAAGTCAAAAGAAAACAGACTTTTGTCCAAATCAGGTTTATGTGCAATTATATGTCTTGCTACTGTAACACTGAAATTTCCATATCTATCTATCTATCTATCTATCTATCTATCTATCTATCTATCTATCTATCTATCTATCTATCTATCCATCTTGACTGACATACAATATGACAACCAGAGCAGGTGATTCTACAACAAAAGCACACCTGCACATATTGCAGGTGTAGCATGGGTTGGCAGACATGTGAGGGTTTGTGACATGTGAAAGTTGTCTTGAACTTTTTTCAGTCCAACAGAATGAAACAGACAATAAACCTGATAGCTGAGGCCAGCTTAGCTTAATATAGATAACAGACAGGTCTGTGGAGTGTATGTGGAGTGTAGGTGGAGTGTATGTGGAGTGTATGTGGAGTGTATGTGGAGTATAGGTGGAGTGTATGTGGAGTATATGTGGAGTGTAGGTGGAGTGTTATGTGGAGTGTATGTGGAGTGTATGTGGAGTGTATGTGGAGTGTAGGTGGAGTGTTATGTGGAGTGTATGTGGAGTGTATGTGGAGTGTAGGTGGAGTGTTTGTGGAGTGTATGTGGAGTGTATGTGGAGTGTATGTGGAGTGTAGGTGGAGTGTATGTGGAGTGTAGGTGGAGTGTATGTGGAGTGTAGGTGGAGTGTATGTGGAGTGTATGTGGAGTGTTTGTGGAGTGTATGTGGAGTGTATGTGGAGTATAGGTGGAGTGTATGTGGAGTGTAGGTGGAGTGTATGTGGAGTGTATGTGGAGTGTATGTCGAGTGTATGTCGAGTGTATGTGGAGTGTAGGTGGAGTGTATGTGGAGTGTATGTGGAGTGTAGGTGGAGTGTATGTGGAGTGTATGTGGAGTGTATGTGGAGTGTAGGTGGAGTGTAGGTGGAGTGTTTGTGGAGTGTATGTCGAGTGTATGTGGAGTATAGGTGGAGTGTATGTGGAGTGTAGGTGGAGTGTATGTGGAGTGTATGTGGAGTGTAGGTGGAGTGTATGTGGAGAGTATGTGGAGTGTATGTCGAGTGTATGTGGAGTATAGGTGGAGTGTATGTGGAGTGTAGGTGGAGTGTATGTGGAGTGTATGTGGAGTGTATGTGGAGTGTATGTGGAGTGTATGTGGAGTGTAGGTGGAGTGTAGGTGGAGTGTATGTGGAGTGTATGTGGAGTGTATGTGGAGTGTATGTGGAGTGTAGGTGGAGTGTATGTGGAGTGTAGGTGGAGTGTAGGTGGAGTGTATGTGGAGTGTAGGTGGAGTGTATGTGGAGTGTATGTGGAGTATAGGTGGAGTGTATGTGGAGTGTATGTGGAGTGTATGTGGAGTGTAGGTGGAGTGTATGTGGAGTGTAGGTGGAGTGTATGTGGAGTGTAGGTGGAGTGTATGTGGAGTGTATGTGGAGTGTATGTGGAGTGTATGTGGAGTGTAGGTGGAGTGTATGTGGAGTGTATGTCGAGTGTATGTGGAGTATAGGTGGAGTGTATGTGGAGTGTATGTGGAGTGTATGTGGAGTGTATGTCGAGTGTATGTGGAGTATAGGTGGAGTGTATGTGGAGTGTATGTGGAGTGTAGGTGGAGTGTATGTGGAGTGTATGTGGAGTGTAGGTGGAGTGTTATGTGGAGTGTATGTGGAGTGTATGTGGAGTGTAGGTGGAGTGTTTGTGGAGTGTATGTCGAGTGTATGTGGAGTATAGGTGGAGTGTATGTGGAGTATAGGTGGAGTGTATGTGGAGTGTATGTGGAGTGTAGGTGGAGTGTATGTGGAGTGTATGTGGAGTGTATGTCGAGTGTATGTGGAGTATAGGTGGAGTGTATGTGGAGTGTAGGTGGAGTGTATGTGGAGTGTATGTGGAGTGTATGTGGAGTGTATGTCGAGTGTATGTGGAGTATAGGTGGAGTGTATGTGGAGTGTAGGTGGAGTGTAGGTGGAGTGTATGTGGAGTGTAGGTGGAGTGTAGGTGGAGTGTATGTGGAGTGTATGTCGAGTGTATGTGGAGTATAGGTGGAGTGTATGTGGAGTGTATGTGGAGTGTAGGTGGAGTGTATGTGGAGTGTATGTGGAGTGTAGGTGGAGTGTTATGTGGAGTGTATGTGGAGTGTATGTGGAGTGTAGGTGGAGTGTTTGTGGAGTGTAGGTGGAGTGTAGGTGGAGTGTATGTGGAGTGTAGGTGGAGTGTTATGTGGAGTGTATGTGGAGTGTAGGTGGAGTGTTATGTGGAGTGTATGTGGAGTGTAGGTGGAGTGTTATGTGGAGTGTATGTGGAGTGTAGGTGGAGTGTAGGTGGAGTGTTTGTGGAGTGTATGTGGAGTGTAGGTGGAGTGTAGGTGGAGTGTATGTGGAGTGTATGTGGAGTGTAGGGGGAGTGTTATGTGGAGAGTAGGTGGAGTGTAGGTGGAGTGTAGGTGGAGTGTTATGTGGAGTGTATTGTGGAGTGTATGTGGAGTGTAGGTGGAGTGTATGTGGAGTGTAGGTGGAGTGTAGGTGGAGTGTATGTGGAGTGTAGGTGGAGTGTTATGTGGAGTGTATTGTGGAGTGTTATGTGGAGTGTATTTTCTTCTAAATGTATTGTTTTTCTGTATTTCTCTTATTGATGCTTATTTCTAATTGCTTTGGCAATAATACACCAGCAATAAAGCAACGCTGATTGTGAAAGGAGCAATAAGAGAAAATGAAAGAGAGAATCACTCACAGCTCTCAATCTCCAGCGTGCAGTTCTGCTCGTCCAGTGGGTAGCGTCTCAGGTCCATCATGCAGGCCGCTGTGGTGGTGATCCTGAATGCAGAGCAGACACACACACACGCACACGGATTACTGACGCCTCTCAAGGACACCAGGGACACGAACAGAGCTGAAGTACACCCCTCCTCTACATCGCTCAGTATTTCTCCTCACACACTCCTCACACCTACACACAGGTTTGCTTTTATACAGTGTCAGGATGCTGGGTCATATTTCATGTGTTACACACAAACACACACACACATATATATATCCATATATATATATACATTCTACATATATACAACATGTATTAAATATATCTAAGTGTACATAATGAAGCTTTTGTAAAATACCCTTTACAAAATGAGGAGTGTGTAGATTTGTTTTTCCTACAAAGTATGGAAACCAACACTCGTACACACACACACACACGCGCACACACATTCCCCTTCCCATGCTCCTATAAGCTCCGGAGCCGCTGCTGAACTCAGTTAAGCTTGAGTAGAGTAGATGGGGTCAGACGCAGAGACCATAGAGCAGGACGCCGCTGGAAATGGCCAAATAACTGCGGGCCACTAATTTGTGTTTAAAGTGAAAAGCAGTGAAGCTAAGGAGAAGTGATGAAGTGTGCTGCTGCTTTATTTACTCAATAAACCACACGCGTCCGCAGGCCTGTTTGCTCGGACCACCCGCCGCATGGAGGGCTGCAGTATTTCAGAAAATGAAGGAACCGAATCAAGGAGTCACAGTTTCTCTTCAGCAGGAATAGAAGGTCGTTCTTTAAATGTTTTAGCCAATGCTAACGAAGCCAATAAGTGACATTTTGCTGTACTTTCGTCCATTTTTATTGATTGTCATGCATCCCTCCAGCCATGAGTCCCAGGCCTCCAATTCCCAGAACCCTCTGGATGAACACGTGACGTCAAGGTCACCTGTTTTATCTATCATATGACTGGATATAGTTAGTTTATAAGGCCGGGCTTTAGGCAGCTGAGTGTTCTTGACCATGTTCTGATCTGCTTTTTGTGTATCCGACGTGTTGTTTGTATTTTAGACTCTCCCCTTTGCCTGTGCCCCTTCTGGGCTTTGGTTGCCTTGATTTATCTTTGTTACGTTTGTACATTTCTGGCTCGTTTTGGTTTCGACCTTTACCTGTTTTTTGACCTCGACTGTGGATTATGGACAAACTAGTAAAGCCTCTTTTTCATATTTTAACCTCACACGTCTGACTAAGTCTGACTCGTTACATAGATAACATAGGTCAGAAGCTACATAATGTTGCTGTTAGGAGTCGTGTCACTGGTGTTACTGCGTAACAAAAAAATCTCTTACTTTAAAATAAAATCACACTGATGACATCACTTGACTTCCTTTCACTTATTTTCTGAACATCTATGAAGAAAAGCACATGGTGAGTCCACTGTGTCTTTTCAGTTATCAGAAATTTTCTCATTAAGCTCATAATTTCATATGAAGCTTTTAGTTGACATCACTGATGTGACCTTTTATTATAGTAAATTATATTACTTATTACAGTGACTTCTATGGATAGAAAAAAAAGTGGACGTTACTGTAGAATGACCCATCTCAATTTTTTTTTCCTATTTTTTACTTTTCTGCATTATTTGAACACTTGAGCACTGTGTGTGAAAATGCCATGATGAATGGACCAATAGAAATGCTCCAAAATCACTTGAAATCAATTTTTACATGACATTCTTGCATTAAAAGTTAAGAAATCTTTTGCCTGTTTTTTTTTTTGAACAGCAGTGATAAGCAACTCTATTTAAGACTTTCTTATCAATATAGCACAGGTTGAGACATGAATGTGATGATTTAGACCGTTTGCACAATGCCCACTGACCTAGCCAAGCCCCACCTCCTAAAACATTCATTCTCAGTGCAGACTTTACAAAATATTGACAAACTCCAATTCAACCTAATGAGATATTACAGCACAGTTTGGTTAGAGTCAATACATAAAATGAAGTTTCCAGTTTAAAAAGCTGTGCCACTAAGATGGACTATGACAGTTCAGCTAATCAAAACTAGGCAGGTTGGAAAAGACAAAAGCTGCATCCAATCTATCCTAACAGTGTGACCCAAACTCATTCAAAATAAAAGCATTTAAAATACTAATACACTCCATCTTTCTATTTTGACAAAGATAATTTTTTAGGTTGAAAGTTATTTTGTCGACGTTTGTAAGGCTTGTCCAACCTTGGAAGAGATTCTATAAAAGTTTTAAGACTGGTCCGTTAGTTGTTAGCTACATTAGCCTAGCCTAGAGTAGCTCCAGTGCAAAACTAAAGAAGTAAAGTCTGGACACAAAGCGATTCTTGGCTGATGTACTACATTCACTAAATACTGATCTATTCCTTTAAGCAGTCGCTTCGACCGACACACGTCATCTCAGGTGGATGGCTCAGAAACTCATTAACCAGAGGACAGCAGTCTCACCCACGAGGCCAACCTAAGCTCAGCACCAATGTCATTTTGATGGAAAATTAAAGATGAAGTCTAAAATCTAATAGGTTTTTGTGAACTTTACTGCTATTGGTCCCGAATTCATCCAGAGGGCCGCTTATCTTTAATAATTAAAGACACAAGTTAATTTGAAATTCTTTCTGCATAAAATACCCAAATCCCACTGCTATCCCAGCTTAGGACTTTCGGACCATGTTTTAGAGACATTAGAACATCTTCTACCTCCAGTTCAGGTTGCTAATGGGGCGGCAGGACCCCAGAGGTGTGTTTCTAAAGACAAATCAGTCGTGATGCGCAGCACAGTGATGCATTGCAGTTGGGAAAAAGTGCATAGAAAGCATCGCAGTGAATGCGGCAGTGGGGTCATCTGAGGTTCATTTTACATTCCAGTCACATAATAATAGAATAAGACTTTCTTGAACATCCTTTAGTGACTCTTTTTACCTAAATAACTCTTCACAAACTTGTTTCGAGCTAAAAGACATGAGGTGAAATAAAAGCTGCAGTGTAACTCGTCTGTTTTAAAGACAAAATGACTTGATTCTTTTAAAATATTAGACTGATGGCTTCTCACAATATGAACTGTGTGAATCGGGAGGATGTAACAAAGCAGTGTGAGTGAGGTCGGGCTATCTAGAACCATGTGAATGGAGGAGGATCTTCTGGAAGAGTGTGAGTGGGGAGGACAAACTAGAACCATGTGAAATGGGGAGGAGATACTGGAACAGTGTGAATAGGGGAACATTCTAGAACACGAAGGAGGACATTCTTGTGAATGGAGGAAGATATTGTGGAACAGTATGAATTGAGGTGGACATTCTAGAACAGTGTGAATGGAAAGGGATACAGTGAAACAGAGTGACTAGAGAGGACATTCAGGAACATGAAGGAAGACATCCTAGAACAGTGTGAATGGAGGAGGATATTGTGGAGCAGTGTGAATGGGGAGATTCTAGAACATGAAGGAGAACATTGTAGAACATTGTGAATAGGGAGACATTTTACAACATGAAGCAGGACATTCTAGAACAGGGTACATAGAGGAAGATATTGTGGAACAGTGTAGCTGGAGGAGGACATTCTATCACATGAAGGAGGACATTCTAGAACAGTGTAAATGGAGGAAATGGAGGAGAATATTGTGGCACAGTGTGAATAGAGGAGACATTCTAGAACATGAAGGAGGACATTCTAGAACAGTATGAATGGAGAAGGATATTGTGGAACATGAAGGCGGACATTATAGAACAGGGTGAATGGAGGAAAATATTGTGGAACAGTGTGAATGGAGGAGCAAATTCTAGAACAGTGGGAATGGAGAGGGATGATGGGGAACAGAGTGAACAGAGGGGACATTCAGGAACATGAAGGAGGACATCTTATAACAGTGTGAATGGGGGGCATTCTACAACATGAAGGAGGACTTTCTAGAACAATGTGAATGAAGAAGGAAGTTGTGGAACAGTGTAGATGGAGGAGGACATTTTAGAACATGAAGGAGGACATTATAGAACAGTGTGAATAGGGGTACATTCTAGAACTTGGAGGACATTCTAGAACAATGTGAATGGAGAAGCATATTGTGGAACAGTGTTTATGGGGGACATTTTAGAACATGAAGGAGGACATTATAGAACATCATGAATAGGGGGACATTCTAAAACTTGAAAGAGGACATTCTAGGACAATGTGAAGGGAGAAGGATATTGTAGAACAGTGTGAATGGAGCAGAACATTCTAGAACATAAAAGGGGAAATTTTAGAATAATATGAATGGAGAAGAATATTGTGGAAAAGCGTGAATTGAGGATGACATTTCTAGAACATGAAGGAGGACATTATAGAATAGTGTGAATAGGGGTACATTCTAGAACATGAAGAAGGACATTCTGGAACAGTATAAATGGAGGAGGACATTCTAGTACAATGTGAATGGAGATGGATGTTGTGGAACAGTGTAGATGGAGGAGGACATTCTAGAACATGAAGGAGGACATAGAACAGTGTGAATAGGGGTACATTCTAGAACGTGAAAGAGGACATTCTAGAACAATGTGAATGGAGAAGCATATTGTGGAACAGTGTGAATGGAACAGGACATTCTAGAACACGAAGGAGGACATTCTAGAATAACATGAATGCAGGAGAATACTGTGGAACAGTGTGAATGGAGGAGGACATTCTAGAACAGTGCAAATGAAGGACCAGATTCTAGAACATGAAGGAGGGCATTCTAGAACAGTGAGAATGGAAGAAGACGTTCTAGAACAGTGTGGATGGAGGAGGACATTCTAGAACAGTGCAAATGAAGGACAACATTCTAGAACATGAAGGGGAACAGTGTGAATGGAGGAGAATACTGTGGAACGGTGTGAATAGAAGAGACGTTCTAGGGCAGTGTGAATGTGGAATGGTCAGTGACTGTATATGTGAGTATATACAGGGTCATATATATATTCATATACACCCAAACTAAACACTTGAGTGGGTTGGTGTTTGTTGGGACGCTGTGCTCCCTCCTGTTAAAGAACGAGTGTAATCTCCATCGCCCTTCAGTCCGGGAC